TCTGTCTCTCGCACCCTATTCTTTGTTGAGACTTTCAGACTCCCGAGTGCCAGCCTTTACCTCGGTGTAGCTGCAGTCCCTTTCCATGAGACAAGTAATTCCTTCCTCTGATCCACTCTTGGTTGCGTTCGGCTGCCCTCTCTTATAGTAATATAATAGTGAGAATGCAGTTGGGGGTTCGAGCCTCAGGCACGACGTTGTGTCTTTCGGAAAGGCATTTTGCACGAATTTCCATCACTTTACCCAGGTGGAAATGGGTACCAGGGCATAGACAGTTAAAGATCTTGCCAGTATGCTGTTAGTGTTTTAGCGCTTTTAAAATGGTAGCTTGCTCTGTTTGTTTCCCAGGAAGTTGAGATTGTTTCAGAATGCTATCAGGTCTGTTGGGGTAATAATTCTAATCGTAAAGCGCAAAGAGCTTGCTGCTGAGCGTTAATTTGCGCTATACAAATGTTAATTATTACTCATTTTTATTTGCCAAACTGCCTCTTCAAGTGTCAGATCTGGAACAGAGGTGGGCGATGATTATAAATGATAATAACAATTAATGGTAATAAAAAGAATTCGTGTCGCTCATATCCCTGCTCGATGATAAGATCTATGCGATTTACACTATTTTATCCATCGTGGTTCGCTATTCTCAACCTACGTTTGCCAAAACAATTTCAAAATCCACAATCTCTTTGGCCCCCTCTCGAAGGACTTGTTCGTTGGTTTCTCCGCCCATGAGCTTGGCCACGCCCACAATCAAGTCTTCATAGGCAATCAGCATCGGGTCGTCACGGGCAACCAAGTAATATTTCTGGCCGGGAAGTCCGAAGTCAGTCTGCTCCATCTGGGGATAGACAACAGCGGTACGGCTGAATACATTTAGTGAATCATCTTTTAAATCGACAAGGTCACATTTCCCTGTCACACCCAGAAATAGTAAGATACACATTAACACCTCTCCAGATTCTAAATGTTTTGACTATGTCTTTTCTTAGGAGAATATCAAGAGAGTCCTGATCTGAAAGGATTTTTCTTATTTTTTTTATTAGAAAAGGGGGGGGGTGTAATGGGTGTCTAAAAATAAGGACCCATGCAAAGGGGCATAGCTCGCACCAAGTTCAACAAAAACATGTTATGCGATTTAATCATGAAGGCGTCAAAATTGTCAGTGTGAAGAAAAATGATCAATGTATTCGAAGAATATCCATTAAAATAATCGCCACAGTTAAGTAAAATGCAAAGCTTTAAACTAAAACATCAGCCATAACGTCATTGTGTAGCTGTACACAGAAGAACAATCTATTTAAAACTAATGTTCTCCCAGAGAGTATTCCCTGACTGGGTCTGTAGTAAAATGATCATCCTGCTCGCTATTGCATACAGACGATATGGTTCTATTCCAGAGTGGTGGGCGTATTTCTCAGTGTGTGTGCTTTAACGTTTTATCCCACTCATCTACACTTTACCTTGATAGGTAACGCTTTAGAAGCACAAACCAAAAAAGGCATATATCAGCGCTGGCCAACTTGGACGAATTTACCCACTTGCGGTCGATTTGGAAATTCAAGTGGACGGTAGGATAAGGATCATCGGATAAGGAAATGTGCTATTTAATAATGACCCGTTTTGTAATACATGTAGGTTGGCAGTACAAAAAAAGTTAACCTCTTGAAAATGGCACACGTAGGCGCTGGCTATGAAAACGTTGACAAGCAGTGGTCTTTACTGTGTCTATGGGGGTGTAAAACATTACAAAAAGAGTATATAATCCAAAATCCAGTTAACCTTATCAGTACTATGCTTTTCATTTTATAATACTTCTAATGCGAAGATCTCTTTGAAACTTTCAGTATTTCTCAGAAAATCATTTTGGCAAATTGCTATTTAAAGCGTACGGGTCGGATTAACGAGTAAACTTTCTCTTTGCAAAGTGGGGGCACAGAGTTCCCCACGCCGTATGGATACGTTAGTAAAACACGGCGTACGGACAGGGTTAAGACGTACCTTGAGAATCCTCTGAGAGGAGTTTTTGTTATCAATTCCAGTGTAGACACTGAGCAAGGGGTAGCTATTGTACTTGTTGTGAGTGATGATAGCATTCACCAGGTCAAAGGTCATTGGGTCCCAGCCCAAGGTGATGAGTGGCCAGCCTCCCAGTTCGTTGACGATGAGCTCCTTGAGGGCGGTGTCACCTTTCTCGTTGATCAAGTCTGGGGATTATTCCCGACATTTCAGTATCATCGTCGTCATTATCATCATCATCATCATCATCATCATCATCATCATCATCATCATCATCATCATCATCATCATCATCATCATCATCATCATCATCATGACAGACCCAAAAATTCCTATTTTCCATATTTTACTTTACTTGGAACATCAATAAGTACAATTTTAATAGGTAACGTAAATATTTGAAACCAAATCAGGACACAGGACACCAAGAAAAAGCAAGGGGGAAAAAAGAAGAAAAATTGCATTTTTGTTCAGTGGAAGGAATACATTTCGGTTACAGTTATTTCGTTTTGCCTCTTGATACTGCGAATATGTAATGTTCTATTCGATATACTTTTGTTATTCTTAAATGGGTCCTACGAGAGCAACTCCTAATAATAACTTATTCAACTATTATGGATAACATAATTAAGTTATTTCTGTAAAGGAATTCACTTTAGTAGGCTCAGAAACAGTACTTATTACTATTAAATGCCTTTTTAGTTTGAAAATCTACCCCCGTTTACATTGTTTTCGGCCCATTACGTGTGTTGCGTGGATGTGAAGAGAGAACATACTCGTAATTTCGTCCCGGTAAAACAGTGCCAAAGAATAATTTCTGTCACTTCTTGGGAGGCGCAGACGAGCGAGTTCAAAGAATGTGTCGTTTTCGACTGATGGATACATTTTTTTCTTTCTATTACCTATGGGTCTGAAATTAATCCAATACTATATCGCGTATTTTGGGTCAAAACACGGAATTATGCATTGTGAATATTTGGTTTAACCACATTTTTAATATGGTGATGTTATTTAATGGCTGGGAGATCCTAAATGATATCATCTGAATAGGTATTGTGTTTTATATCTTTAAAAATGTTTTTCAGATTCGATAATTAGCTTTTAAACATTCCCTGGTCAAAGAATAGATTTCATAGGACGTCATAATATGACATACCATTGATTGATAATGACATTAACGCATAGTTGTCAAAAGAGGTTCTAAAAGCGTATTCATAAATCCATTATATGTAAGACATGAAACCAGTGTAGCACAAACTATATCTGTCAGTTTGAATGATCGTATATAATAATAATATGTATGTATCTGAATATCTCTCTCTCTCTCTCTCTCTCTCTCTCTCTCTCTCTCTCT